CATCCTCCCAGAACGAGCCCTCTCGCGTGCCCCTGGCAATCTCCGTGATCACTGTGTCCAACGGACACAGTGATCACGTGATGTGGTAAAAGGCCAATCACAGTGTCCTTTTGCTGTGTCCAATGACACAGCAGATCATCGGTAAATGCTGTTGCCAGTTATCGGCTGCTTTTTCCTCACGCTGTCACAGTGTGAGGAAAGTACTGCCGATAACCGGCAATTGTCAGAGGATGGATCGGCACGGATAGTCAGGGCACTGATGATCAGTGCCAAGCAGTGCCAGCCAATAGTGCTGCCCACCTGTGCCCAGCAGTGCTGCCCACCTGTGCCCAGCATTGCCACCCATCAGTGCCACCCAACAGTGCTGCCCATCAGTGCCGCCAGTCAGTATCCAGCAGTGCCGTCAGTCAGTGCCCATCATTGATGCATATCAGTGCCAGTCCTCAGTGCCAATCATTGTTGCATATCAGTGCCAGCTCCTCAGTGCCAATCATTGTTGCATATCAGTGCCAGCTCCTCAGTGCCACCTATCAGTGCCCATCATTGTTGCATATCAGTGCCACCTATCAGTGCCAGCTCCTCAGTGCCACCTATCAGTGCCAGCTCCTCAGTGCCAATCATTGTTGCATATCAGTGCCAGCTCCTCAGTTCCACCTATCAGTGCCCATCATTGTTGCATATCAGTGCCAGCTCCTCAGTTCCACCTATCAGTGCCCATCATTGTTGCATATCAGTGCCAGCTCCTCAGTTCCACCTATCAGTGCCCATGTTTCATATCAGTGCCAGCTCCTCAGTTCCACCTATCAGTGCCCATCATTGTTTCATATCAGTGCCAGCTCCTCAGTGCCACCTATCAGTGCCACTCATTGTTGCATATCAGTGCCACCTCATCAGTGTCACCTATCAGTGCCAATCAGTACTGCCTATCTATGCCACCTCTCAGTGCCCATCAGTGCAGCCTATCAGTGCCCATCAGTGCAGCCTATCAGTGCAGCCTCATCAATGCACATCAGTGAAGGAGAAAAATTACCTGTTTGCAAAATTTTATAATAGAAACAAAGGAAACAAAAATTATTTTCAAAATTTTTGCTTTTTTTTGTTTATAGCACAAAAAATAAAACACCCAGCAGCGAATACATACCACCAAAAAAACCTCTATTTGTGTGAAAAAAAAATACAAATGTCATATGGGTGCAGTGTTGCATGACCGCGCAATTGTCACTGAAAGTGCAACAGTGCTGAAAGCTGAAAATTAGCATGGGCAGGAAGGGGGTATAAGTGCCCGGTAGGCACATGGTTAATGTGTATGTGGAAAAAAATGCCCAGGTAGACAAGTGTTAAAAAAAAAAAAAAAAAAAAAAACATCCTTTAGTATCAATTTAGGTACCTCACAAAAAAAAAAGAAGTAAAAGTGCTGCCATGGAGCCATTTGTCTGCCATTGGCTGCCATACCTTGGTGATAGCACCTCATAGAAGGTGTGGGAGGAGCGGAGTGTGCCTGCTGTCCCGCCCCATTCCTCTCCCTCCATACAGAGCAGTGCTGGCTCAGTGGAAGGCAGTGTTCCCTCATGTGTACACGTCAGCCGGCTGTGTGATAAGCGCAGACAGACAGACGATGACTGAAGCCCGCGCACCTTGCCGTACCTTGCACTGAAGGATCCTGGCGTGCCATTCCCGCTCCTGGCCCCTCCCCCTGCTCTCAGTCGGCTCCTCCCCCTGGTTTCACACGCCCCCAGTTGAGCGGCGGTTGTCTCCGTGCTGCTGCTAGTGCTTCTCCCAGATGGGAGGGAATTGTTATTCATTGCGGGGGCTGGAGGGAGAGAAAAGGGTGGAGATGGGTGTTCGGAAAGCAAAGGCCACCGTCTGCCCTTCATGTGGGAGAGAGGAGGAGCCAGGAGAGCAGGTGGAAGTTAGGTGCGGAGGCTGAAGTTGCGGCTCTCACATCCAGCCGTCACCGTCCACCATGCCCTGACCTGAGCCCGGGAAAGGTGTGAGCATGGCCAAGGAGCTGAGCCAGGAGGAGGTGCTGGACTTCCTGTGCCAGGGCGGAGGGAAGGTGCCCAATGCCTCGTTGCTGGCACACTTCAAGCACTTCTTGAGGGACCCCCATGTGGCCGGCGAGCAGCTCCTGAAGCGCAGGGACAGGTTCAAGCGCTATGTCAACTCGGTGGCCGTGGTGAAGCAGGAGGGAGCTGTTAAGTACGTGGTGCTCAGGAGCCGCTACAGAGATCTGCTGGGAGAGGACCTGACACTGGCAATCCCTGATGAGCCAGTGATCAGCGACAATAGGGAGAACCAGGAGATCGGCTCCCAGGTGACAGGAGGGAGATGGAGCAGACAGGATGAGGGTTATCACCCGGGGGAGCCTGCACTCCTCGATCATCACAAGGGGGCACCTATGACTTTCAGTGACCCTGATTGGAATGTTAATGGAGCTTCTGATGGGAAGATCCGGCATGGACACTTGTATACTGAGACACAATCGAGACTGCAGCAGCCTTCATCTCAGCCTCCCTCCTCATCTGCAGATCACACATCTACAGCACCCCTGAGCAAGACCTCATCATCTGTGAACAATGCCTGTTTATCAAGCAGGGATGCCTTTCCGCATGGCACCATCGAGGTATTCCCTTCCAGCAGGACATTCTCACAGCAACCCAGTGATACCTCCTTGGCTGCTATGAAGACCTCTTCATCACCAGGTGATTACATATCCTCCAAGACCTCCTCTTCAGCCACTGATTCTTCTATACCGTCTACGAAGAACCCCTCTTCACCTGGTAATACTTCCATACCGTTTACCAAGAACTCATCTTCAGCCACCAATACTTCTATAACATCTACCAAGAACTCCTCTTCACCTGGTAATACTTCCATACCTTCTACCAGGAACTCTTCACCTGGTAATACTTCCATACCTTCTACCAGGAACTCTTCACCTGGTAATACTTCCATACCCTCTACCAGGAACTCTTCACCTTGTAATAATTCCTTACCCTCTACTAAGAACTCTTCACCTGTTAATACTTCCCTAACTCTCACCAAGAACTCTTCACCTGCTAATACCTTCATAACCCCCACTGAGAACTCCTCTTCACCTGGTAATGCTTCCATACCCCTTACCAAGAACTCCTCTACACTGGCCAATACTTCCATACCCTCCACCAGGAACTCTTCACCTGTCAATACTTCCATACTTTCCACAAAGAACCCCTCTTTACCTGCTTTTACTCCAACGCTCTTCACCAAGAACTACTCTTCACTCATTGACAATACCATACCCTCCATTAATACCTCTTCATCCAGTAATACTTCAATACCCTTCACCAAGACCTCCTCACCACCTAGTGATGCTTCTATACCTGCCACCAATACCTCTTCACCATCTAGTGATGCTTCTATACCTGCCACCAATACCTCTTCACCACATAGTGATGCCTCCATACCCACCACCAAGACCTCCTCACCACCCAGTGATACCTACCCATACCCTCTACAAAGACTTACCCTCTCAAAGACTTCCACCACCCAGTGATACCTCCATACCCTCTACAAAGACTTTCTCACCACCCAGTGACATATCCATACTCTTCAACAAGACCACCTCACCCCCTAGTAATGCTTGTACAAAGAACTCTGAACCACTCAGTAGCACTTCATCTCAATACAAGGACTATTACCCTACAGAAAGCCTCTCAGTACCTTATTCTAAGAATTCTTCATTTTCTTGTGCTCAAAACCCTTCATTGTCCCAATCACTCTTCCCAGGGGCAAGTGAGCAGAGGAGATCTCCAGCTGGTGGGGACCACAGGACAGCAACCACTAATCCTGCTTTTATAAGTGCAAGCTGCAGGGGTCAGCAAGAACAAAAACTTGGAGGCAATGAGATACAGACTACAAATTTTGAGATGATTGGTACATTTCCCCAGGAGGTGCATTCAGAGCAGCAGGATATTTCCAACTATATAAAAGAACAGCAAAGACACGGCTTTTATGAGGATCTAGCAGCTTCTCCTCATTCCAGGTACATGAACAGTACACACCCTTCCTCCTCCCTGCTGCTCCCTCTTGAATCAAGTATCACTCCTCTAGATATGCAGCTGGAGGAATACAATCCAGCCAGTCCATGCCCCTCACCACCACTTCTTCTTAATGATATGCGTGACCTGTGGATGTGCCAAATGCCTGTGTTTAAAAGTATAAGGTGCCAACTGTCTTTGCAGGACATGGAAGACTTTGTTGATCAGGAAAGCTGTGGAAGTGAGGGAAGTGACAGTGGTGAAGGGGGTGACCTGTGACACTGAGCACAAAGATGATGAAGATTTTTCCAGTGATTCAAACACTGAAAAATACACTCAGTATATAGAGCAGAAATGTGAAAATACTAGGAGATGCCCTCCAAACAGAAAATTCCTTAGTATTATTGAACAGTATAGCAAGCTAGAAAGTGGGGACCTGCTGGGAGCCAAAGATACTCTAGTGGATTGTGACCCAGAACCTAGCATACATGCTGAAAACAAGAAGTCCCCTTACATTGCTAAATCCTTTCTCACTGATCAAGCACCCATCTTGTTTGAGTTGGCTAGACATCCTCCAAAACACAGGGCGAGTTCTCGCTTTCAGGAATTAATGTCTTCCTCAGATGATGAACTAATTGATAGGGATTTCAGTAGGAGGCGGCGCCCGTCGCGTACGAAGAGACCTCCCGATATTGTGATACCTCCACAGCCTGACGTAGACTTGCTTTTAATAACAAAGCCTCTGTGAGCAATAACAAACTTACTGTAAATCTTGAAGACCAAAAAGATTATCAAGCACAGTATGTACCTAAAGCAAATGTGGATTTTTTGCTTAAAAAGTCTTTTAATTACAAATCCTGTACAGTACCCTTAGATCCTGCAGAGCATGACTGGATTGTTAAGTCGGCTTCTGGGTCTTGGCTTCAGGTCTATGGATTGTTTAGTCAAGACCCCCAACTGGTTTTACGAAAAGATTTCATCTCTGGTTACACAGTCCTGCACTGGTTTGCCAAGCATGGTGCAATTGAAATGTTCCATAAGTTTGTAGCTGGTGCCAAAAAGGCAGGAATTGAACTTGACTTGAACATAAAATCTAATGGTGGATACACACCTTTGCATATTGCTGCTATTCATGGGCATCACAAAGTGGCTGCCATGTTAGTAGAAAGACTCCAAGTAAATGTGAAGTTGAGGGACAACAGTGGAAAGAGGGCCTGGCAATACCTGAACTGCAATACATCTGGGGAGGTATGGAGGCTTTTAGGAGCACCTAAGGGTAAAACCATCTTTGCTTCTCGCACCTTAAATACCACTTATTTCAACACACAGAACAAGTCAAGTCAGATAAATAGAAAAACATCTTTGGCCGCTTTTCTCAAACCACAGCATCAAAAATGGAAAGCAAACAACCATCCTCTGTTAAGGGAAAGAGAAATCTACAGTGACTGAGGTAGGGTCAGTTTGGAAATGCACATGCTCTGACTGGGGATGGAAAAAGTAGAGGCTGCTTTGTTACTATGACAACGACTTATGCTTCCTGCCCTGCATGCTTTGCTTCCCTGTATTTCTACTGGGTCATTGGTGCAGGCAGGAAGAGGGACCAGTACAATCGAATGCTCCCCAGGGAGACCAACAAACTCTTGCTATTGTAACAGTTGCTTCCTTATACACTGTCTTGCAGTTGATTTCTGGGCCCAGGACATTGATGTACACATACCATGGATGGGGCTATAGACAAATGCCCACAATGTTCTGCCAACTACAATTCTAGACTGGGAAAATGGAAAACGTCAGCTTGGCTTATGTGTTTGTGTAGGAATAATATCATAATGGGCTTCCATTTTTTTTTTTTCAATTCTGTACCGATTGTTTAATATTAAACTTCGCATGCACAATTTTGATGAGGCTATTTTTAGGCCTCCTGCACACTGGTTTATTACAAATTCTGTATGTCCTGATATGAGAAAATCAGCGTTAAAAACGCAAGCTGTGCTTTTTTTTTTCCATCCAGTTTAGCAGCGTTTGATGTTTGGGCAGTTATTTCATTGGCCAGAATTTTAATTCATTCTGGCCAAAGAAATGAATAAACACTGAGTGATAACCACGGATAGCATTTAGGCGTGTTTTATCGGCAGTGTTTTTTTTTTTTTTTTTTTTTTTTTTTTGTCAAAATTCCCTCTCCTGATTGCAATTTCAGGGCATTCAGAAAACGTCCTCTAAACACATATAACACATATAACATGGAGGGGAGTTCAGGGGCAGAAATAAAAAAGCCAAAACCCACAAAAACGTGAGTTTAAGAGCAGCAGTGTGTATGAGGCCTTAGGGTTGAGCTAATTTCTTGAGACTGCACAACAACCACCTTGTTTGTCAGTTGCAATATATTGTATCCATAAGTGTCTTATTGCATAACAAATGTTTCGTCTCAGTTCTTAGGTCTGAAAAGTTTACTGTAGCACAAACGTAGCCTTTTATTGATGCAAAAAAATGTACATAGCAGCAGATGTATCTAATCTCCCCTGTTGTCAGGCTAATATGCTATAGCTCTGTGTGATTCTGTCTTTTCCAAACAGTTGGGTATATTCTGCAAAATGACTCTTTAGATATTCATTACTTGATGTTTGCCTTTGTTGACTCCTGTATCATACTGTGATATGAAACCAAAGTAAATATATTTTTCGTTGGCAAATGTTGGGTTTTTCACTGGCAATAATAAGTTGGAGGATAATATAGTACATATTATGGGATTTAATCAGACAGCTAATAGGAAAAGATCCTTTATATTAAAAAGAAAAAAATTATTTTCAGTAAAGTGAGATGCGAGATTTGTGTGTTTTTAAAGCTTGAATACCAAGAAAAGTGAAAATCTTCCCTTGTGATTGGACTGTGCCTGCTCTGCAAAGGTTAACTGCTTGTATGTGCCTAGGAGACCAGGTAAAGTAGTTTTTCATACCTGATTCTCTGTTTCTGCAGGCTTTGTTGTGACGCTAGACTGGTACTGGCAACCTCTTCTCCCCTGCACTATGGCAGTCAAATGCCTCTGATATCATCAAAGCTGATTCAGGGACCAAAGCCCTTGAGTGGGGTTGAGGATGCTGAGGGACAGTCCATTGCTGAAGGGGGGGGTCAGGTTAGTAAAACAGGTTTTTACCATCTCTAGACTAAACTTGCAGTTAACTATTGCACTGGGGCTGTGCTGACTTTTAATTCTCCCAGAGTTATGCTTTGAAAGTGTAACAACCTCTTGTGATATATTGGTAAGAGGGACCATTTAACGTCATCCATATTTCTCTCCATCCATGTTTTGAGGGCATTTTGTACTGTAGTCTACTTCATTTATCAAAGTTTTTTTATATGACGGATTTTGTGTTTTGTTCATAGCAACTAGATTCCATATTTTCAGTACAGTCGTGGAAACTAATGGAATAATTTAGTTACTGTAATAAAAGAGCATAAAATAGTTAATTAAGACTTTGATATTAAAGTAGAATTCCAGCCTAAGCCTAACTAGTCTTAAAAAGGTCTCCTCCCCCCTCTTAACACCTATGCTGACTAACCTGTGTTAAAAAAAAAAAAAAAAAAAAGTGTTTACTTATTTTCAGGCCACTTCAGTCTGGTCATGTGGTCTGGCTGCCCAGCCAGCGACTTCAGGGGAGAGGAAGGAGCGCTGACAACATCTGGGACATGGGAGCCTATGGGTGATGTCACCGCTCCCAGGTATCCCCAGCTGTTAAGTGCTCTCTTCCCTCCTTAGCAGCTGCCGTAGGCTGACACATGGGACCATGTGAACTGGTAAGTATATACATGTTTTTATCACTGCTTAGTCAGCATAAGTGTTAGGAGGGAGGAGGAGATGTTTTTGAGAGTAGGCAGGTTGAGGCTGTAATTCTACTTTTACTTTCAGCATTCTAGAACATCTACATGCTAACAATTAGGTTTTTACAGTTAATAGCACCTTTACAGCTAAAAATTTGTGATTAAATTGAGAAGGTTTAAACCATCACAAATGGTAGCTAGGAGATTGTAAAGGTTCATTATTTTTATCTTTTTGTAAAATAACAAACACGTTATACTTACCTGTTGCATGCAGTGGTTTTGCACAGAGCAGCCTGGATCCTCTTCTCTGGTCCCCCGCAGGCTCTCCTGGCCCCTCCCTCCTGTCGGGTGCCCCCACAGCAAGCAGCTTGCTATGGGGGACACACACTGCTCCGTGTGTCATTTCTCATTCGGAGCCGTGGCTTGGCCACACTCCCTCTCTCTCATTGGCTGACTGGCTGTGATTGACAGCAGCGGGAGCCAATGATTCCCGCTTGCTGTCTCAGCCAATGAGAAGAGGGAGTCCTGGGATAGCCTAGACTCCAGTGCACATCACAAGATTGAGAGGGGGCTTAGGTGAATATTAGGGGGGCTGGGGGGATGCTGCATAGAGGTTTTTTACCTTCATGCACAGAATGCATGAAGGTAAAAAGCCTTCAGCCTTTATAACCACTTTAAATGTTGCTTGTGTTTGGTTGAGAGATTCCCCATCATTTCCTTTTCTGACCAGCATCACCTGGGCAGGAAGTGAGCCTAACTCTCCTACTTGGAGACTCAGGCAGTATTAAAAATCGGTCAGAAGTTCTAAAGCTTTACAGCTGTAAATATTTTTCATGCTGTTTTTGTTCCCACTAGGGCAGGGGTGGGCAACTGTGGCCCTCCAGCTGTTGTATAACTACAGGTCTCTTGAGGCATTGCAAAACTGATAGTTACAAGCATGACTCCCAAAGGCATAGGCATGATGGGGCTTGCAGTTCACCAACAGCTGCTCCTCTGTCAGAATGCACTGATCAGTGCTGCAGCCGATTGGCTGCAAGCACTATATGATCAAAAAATTACTAGCAGTCCTGCTTGGGAGGAGTCCAACATTACACTACCTGCTGAACAAGCCCTTTTGGTCCTACTTCTCCTGCAGGTCACCGGAGTACATTTAGTTCTGCACTCCTGTGACTCCTGGCCTAACTGAGCTAGAACAGGCTCTGGAGAGATCCCAACTTTAAAGTCAGGATCCACCCAGATTCCTGACTGGAAGCTAGCACAGTCTATCTGTTGATAGCCTGAGCCAGCAACTCCTGGAGCTCTAGTGAGTGCTGCAGGAGCAGAGCAGAGAGCTGGTGACTGAAGACTGAGAACCGAGCGGCTGGCGGTCATCGGGGGACAGATGCTGCATCGGATACACTGAATCCATCTAGGTGAGTGAGTAGGTTTTTGGGCTTTTTTTTTTTTTTTTCAAATTCCTATACTTTATACTTTTTTTTTTTTTTTTTTTTTTTTTTTAAGGCCCCTGCTTCAAATACACTGAAGAGCCACATTCCTCCAAACCTGTTTTTTTTTTTTTTTTTAATTGTGTAAGAAACAATTATATGCCCATTCTGTTCTCACAATGCTGTTATATGACTTGGCAAACTAATACTGGCCACATATAGGCATTTTCCTGTGATTCTAAAATCAATTTGTTCTTTTTATCTCGATTCTCAAAAAATGTTATCTTGACTTATGCCTTTCTAGTTTTCTTGGCAATTTTGCTCTCTAGGTCAATTTCCTAATCATTTAGAGGCAATGCATATACATTTAGGTACATTGGAAAACAGACTATACCTTTTAATTTGTTTAAACATCCAATGTATTAAAAAAAAAATCAGCCAAGTCTTGAAGTAGCCACTCAAAAAGTCATTTTTTTTCTTCTAATACAAAATGCTCATAGAGGATTAGTATATGTGCATAGAGGGGTAGGATACCAGTTTTCTGCAGTAGCCACATTTATGGTTCTGGCTAAAATAGAAACCTGGGGGGGGGGGGGGTGGAGAGACCCTTCAAAATAGAGGTGTCACAACTAGCAATTTTGTAAGTGGTAAAATGGTAAAAATCCCTTTATTTGCAACTTTAGAGAGATGTAGGAAAACTACAAACGAATGCTGTTTTTTTTCCACTACCAAGCATTTTAATGCATTCACAGCAAAACTAGAAAAAAATTCTAGCAGTGCCAGATAAATTATTATGCATCTTTTAATACATAATGTATGGCTTTTTTAGCATATTTCCAAGGTAAGAAAATAATTTTAGGTTTAATGCTGGTATAGTAATTATAACATTGCTGTCCTGTTGCAGTCTGTTAAACTACCAGCCTGAGTTCTTGCAATAAGGAAATAAAGTGAAAAGTGCATAGGTCATTAGATTGAAGTCCTGTTGTGATATTTGCCTTGTATACTGTAAGTATATTATAATTGCAGTCCTAGTCATTACAATAAGCTTGATTGTTGGTAAGCTAAAACATGTTGTTCTCTGTTAAACTGGGTACTGTTTGCAGATTTACCAGTGCATGCGATAGTTTAAAATGCACAAGTGAGGTCTCAATCTGCTGCTACGTTTGCACTAATCTTGCTGCCAATTAAGGCTATACTGAAGGAATTTGT